GTCCCTCCAATGGTGCGGATGTGTGGCTGTTGAATTAGCTCGAGAAATAGGCAATCGATGTCCAAAAACCTCTTTCTACACTACATTGCACGAGTCTGGTGGGACAACCGGACAGGCAGTGTTACTGTTAACCAGCTAGTATCAGGTATTCAGGGTCGTTCAATAACGTTTGGTTGGAGACGTCGTTATCAACTCAACCGGGTGATGGTGACCCGATGGTAGCATCACCAAATTATCATCCTGGCGTTTGAATTCCATCATCACCGCCTGACCAGCGACGAGGTTCGCCGAAGAATCTTCACCGCAGACAATCTCGGTCGTTCTCTAAGTGTCGTCATCTCGTTGGCTAGGCTATGTGTTGCGGATGCCGGCTCAACGGCTGCCCCATCGTGTTATGCTTGCGCAAGCAAACGAACTGAAAGCGGCGACAAAGTGGACAACAAATAACCTGGGCTCGAACAATGAGGGCGCTACTCTCAAAACTGGCTGTGGTAGGACGCTCTAGACTCCCAGGTTGGGGACCTAAGGTCAGAGAACATCTATGGCTTGATACACTTGCAGACATGGCTGGTAACCGGCGTCAATGGCGCACCTGTTGCTAGACTTATTCGTTGATTCCCATTTAAACCGTTTTCACACCTCTTTCTTCCTGTGTTGTGGCACATCTGACAATTTCATGTAATTGACTACGTGTTAAATATACTTTTGTGTTGTATGGTAGCCCTGTGACTGGCTGCTTCCTCCTTATTGAAAGTTGTAGCATTCTATATTGAGTAAAAGGGAGTAAAAAGAAAAAATCAATGATTGGAGATAATAAGTTAAATGGCTATCATAAACAATGTCGCTCTTGCATCTACGTCCTTTGTAGCCAGATCTAGCTTTTTTGATCTTGGCTTTGTCACTTACTCCTTTGCTGGTTGACGAAATGGGTAGTCGAAAGATAGCACCTAAAGCCGTCGTAAGACAAGTGCATTTGCAATCAATACAGAAAGAAGACAAATGCAGCAACATATTAACATTTCGTATAATTTCATTTGCTGACTGAAAATAAACAGGCAAATTTATGGCACATAGGGTCTTTCAATCATGGTAAGTGAATGTGCACAAGCATAATAGATTATTAAGTACAGAAGTTGACTTTATGAGTACAAGTTTTTGATGCAATCAATTCTCTTACCATGGAGTTGACCTTTTACTTCTATATGTTGTAATATTTGTTTTCTTGCACATGGTCCTTCACCATANTCACCATAATCGAACAACCCCGTGTGCTATATGTGCCTGCTTGCTGTTTTCCTGATTTAGTTGAGCGATCTGTCTCATGAATTATCGCAACTTTTATCCATTGCTTACAGCAGCTTCTACAACTGATATTCTTTTAAGTTACCGTTCTACGAGCTGTGCCNGGATTCACCAGATTTATCGGTAAGTCTTATAAGTGAGACACAGTTCGCAGAAACTTCTACCCTTGGTCGCCAAAGCTGTGAAGATTTCACAGGAACTGCCTTCGACAAATACCCCGGCTTATGTGTACTACAATGATTTTCCGCAATACAAAACCATCACGTCCGGACAATCACGCAAAGTCCTTTCGATGTGAGTCAAGGTTGTAATCTGATCTCTAGTCTTTCAGTGCTCAAAACCTTTTAGACTTGTTGGATGCAAGAACAAATGTGGTTGATATGCCTAGTTCTAAGTTTCATCGAGATAAGTTTGAGTCAATTGTGGATGCTAATGATCGTCTTTTGGAAAGATTGGTATGGTCTTTTCATGTCACTTATTGTCCTAGTCTGTCTCAATGGATTTGGAGGAAGACCCTGCCAGGAAATCTTCCATAAATGCTGATTTAGTTCTTGCCACCCATCTTCGACAAAATACATCTCTAAGGTGGTTGAGAAACAAAACAGAAGTTCCGTCTCTTCAGCTTCGTTTTTATACTCTCACTGTCTTTAGGACTCCCAAAATAGTTCCCAGCTTGAAAATTCCTCCGACAATGTTCTCACCTTGATTTCATCCCCGAACTTGATCCGACCACAGAGTCAATTTTCAACCCCGCCGGATAATTCGCCTGCTCCTTTTAGGCCAAAGCTTATCAACAAGCCCCATAGCCTTGTGGCGTTATCTGGTAAGTTGACCAAATTTAATGCGATACTTGAATTTTCTTCTGTTTAAGCTACGCAATTTCCGGAGGACGGCACAGAGTAAGTGTATCATTGTACGTTTAATTTTACCTCAATTCCTTCAGTTATCCACATCCATATCAGGTTGAACTAGAGCATTTCGCCTCCCGTATCAACGATTGGGAACCCGTGTTGTCAGAAGATTTACCCGGACCGTTGGATTCCCGGTATGAATTCGTGAACCAACTCGATCAGCTCCAAAGGGTGATAACCGAATTATCCGCTCATCGCGCGGTGGCAGTTGATTTGGAGGTAGATTATTGTGTCCTTTCCAAAACTTGACAATTATTTAAAACAGCCACATCACTGCAATTCAGGGTTAGTGATTGTCAGATTTTTTCTTTGCCAAAATTTTTCACATCCGTTTCATCACCTTCACCAAGCTTTGAATTTCTGGCAATGTTGCCTTGTACACAGAGACTGACTCAAAAACAAGTGGTTAGTCTCTTCATTCACTCTCAGTTTGTGCCCAAGCGATTGGTAATACTACCACTGACTGTATAA